TTATTTCACAATTCTTGGTTTTAAGCCGTATTAATCATAAGAATCCGGTATTTTCCTTCAGTTCATGGTAACAGGTTTAAAACAATAGAAATAATCAAGGTCGGCACTGAGTTGATTAACATTTGCTTTGCTAAACTTAAATACAGCGTTTTCTTGTAAATCTTTTAATTTTATTGGGGGCATTAAGGTCATCTTCGTACGAATTACTTACGTTATGTACTATTAAGTGGAATGTGATTTATTTAAGGACTCTTTAAAGAGAATTCCGGTGAAATTTTCCATAAAGAAATTTGTGATGTCTTAATTTTTTACAATTATAATTTTCTTTACATTTATACACCTAGCAGTTAAATGCTTAACAAATAAAAATTAATTTGGTTAAAGAAATAAAATATGTTAATTTTCAGTTTTCAATTTTGTAAGTTAAATCCTTTTAAGTCGGTAAAAAAACATTCATCGAACTTAAGCCATACGGAGTTGTCAGAAAAGTAAATAAATAATAAAAAAGTATTTAATAAGTACAAAATAAAATGGGTTATCTATAATGCGAAGAGATGGCACTGCCTTGCAGCTTTAGAATGGCTAGAGGAATTTCGACGCGGTCCGTCAGGGCCGCGGTAGCATAATTGGTCAGTGCATTCGCCCGGATTGCGAAGGGTGCGGGTTCGAGTCCCGTCTGCTGCCTGGTCCGCGTGGACTTTTTTCTAGTTATATTTTCTTTAGATTTGAACATCAAGCAGTTACAAGCTTTAAATAAATAAAAATTATAAAAGTACAAAATATACAAAAGATTTTTTGTAATCTGCTGCCTGGTCCGCGTTGATTTTTTCTAGTAAAATTTTCTTTATATTTTAAGATTTTATGTTAAGTAGGCTAGTTTTCAAATAACGTTTATGTTATTTTACAAAAAGACGATATCAAGAAAATTACTCATTAAAATTATCACTGAATACTTTTTTTGCAGATTAACGTGAAGTTGAGTTTCCGTTCATTACTGATCTCAGTTTTTCTAAATGTACCTGCGCTTTAATTAAATATTTATAAAATCACATTTTATTGCCATAACTGAATTCCAATTTAAATGATACCTAAACACTTACGTAACTTAATCATACATGTTTATTATTTATACAAAACCATTAACGAGAAATTGTTGGATTGTAACAATTATTTGAATTAAAAGTCAATAAAAATGAGTCAAAATATTTTCACACTAAAATAATAAACACATAGCAATTAAATTTACCACCTCGTCAAACAAATTTTCCAATAGTATTGTTTTGACATTAATATTTTATTGACGTCAATACACATAGTGATTTAATTACTAATGACTTACAGAATTAAATATTAAAATAAGGTTAATCTCTAATCATAAAATGCCTTATGTAAGGTTTTGTTTGATGCTTTTATGTTAAAGGACTTTATTTGACGACCTCCGTGGCCGAGTGGTTTGTACGCCGGGTTTCATGGCTGTCGCCGACTCGAGAGGTCCCGGGTTCGAATCCCGGTGGGGACAGATGTTTGTGTGATGAATACGAGCATTTGTACTCCAGTCATGGATGTTTAATATGTATTTATATAAATATACTTATATATGTACAGTATATGTATTCTATCCGTTACCCTAGCATCCCATAACACAAGCCTTATAGTGCTTACTTTGGGGCTAGGCTAATTGGTGTGAGTGTCGGAAATATTTATTTATTATTATTTATTTATTTACTAAAACTTTCCGTTAACATTCACATATGAAGAGAAAAATGAAATTAATGTTAGGTACCAATCTGCATAATTATATATTTATAATTTATTAGCGAAATGATTATAACATCAATGGCAAACGATCCTAATAAAATGTTAATAATGAAATGTCAAGGACATTTGAATGAAAATTTAATTTAATGAAACGTATCAACGTAAACACAATGTTAAATAAATACATACACGAAAACTCATTAATTATACTACTTATAAAAAAGTAGAAATAAGAAAAAGTTTCGTAAGTATATGAGATAAAATGAATTTGATGCAAATTCAAATATTTAATCCTGAACAAACACTGAATAGTTATGATTTTATCTATTTTTTAAGCATTTAACTGCTAGATGTTTAAATCTAAAGAAAAGTTTACTAGAAAAAAATCCACGCGGACCAGGCAGCGGACGGGACTCGAACCCGCATCCTTCGCTATCCGGGCGAACGCACTGACCATTATGCTACCACGGCCCTATTAGCCGCGTCGAAATTTTCCTAGCGTTAAGCTGCAAGCAATCTCTTCGCATTATAGGTAACCCACAATGTACCCCAATGTAGATGGCGCTGCCATGCAGCTTAAGAATGGCTAGAAGAATTTCGACGTGGTCCGTGATGGCCACGGTAGCATAATTGGTCAGTGCATTCGCCCGGATTGCGAAGGGTGCGAGTTCGAGTCCCGTCTGCTGCCTGGTCCGCGTGGAATTTTTTCTAGTTATATTTAGGAGTAGATGTTTGAATATTAAGGTTTGTAATCACGAACACCAGGAGAACCATACATTTCACACGTATCACTAATTAGTCATAAAGCGACTAACTTTATTAGTCTTAGAAAGATATCACGTTTCATTACTCCAGCACCGCAAATAACATTGCTCTTTAGAATTTCCTACATTACCAATAAGTCAAAGAAATAAAGTGTACTTAGATATATATTTATATCTATTTTTTAAGTAAGTAACTGATAGATGTTTAAATCTAAAGCAAATTTTACTAGAAAAACATCCACGCGGACCAGGTAGCAGTTGGGAGGAAGATACAGAGAGAGACAAAGAGATGGTGCTGCCTTGCAGCTTAAGAAAAGTTAGAGAAAATTCGACACGGCCACCAGGGCCGCGGTAGCATAATAGTCAGTGCATTGGCCCGGACAGCGAAGGGTGCCGGTTCGAAATAAAGTGTGATGGTGGTTTCCTATAAGACACATCAGACTCGCCAAATCGGCATTTGCTTCGTAAAATAATAGGTTAAATAAAATACCCATTATTTTACGAAGCAAATACCCGGAGAACAGAAACGGGTTTCCCTAAAGGTATTGCAAGTAATTGTATTATGATTTTATTTATTTTTTAAGCATTTAACTGCTAGATGTTTAAATCTAAAGAAAAGTTTACTAGAAAAAAATCCACGCGGACCAGGCAGCGGACGGGACTCGAACCCGCATCCTTCGCTATCCGGGCGAATGCACTGACCATTATGCTACCACGGCCCTATTAGCCGCGTCGAAATTTTCCTAGCCTTAAGCTGCAAGGATAGCGAAGGATGCGAGTTCGAGTCCCGTCCGCTGCCTGGTCCGCGTGGATTTTTTTCTAGTAAACTTTTAATTGTATTATGTTTTTTTTAAGTAGGACAACACACGATATAACAGTTTCTTAACGGATAACGGACTTCGTTCGTTTAAAAAATTTGGTGAACGATCTGAAGATTTTCAATTTGCGAAAATTCAGTTACAGTATTTAAAATGGTTTAGTTTTAAGCAGAAAAAGAGAAGCCCCTCATTTAAAAACATAATTTAAAAGTAACATTGAGATAAGTGTTTGTTTACATTGTTATCAAAACGATTGAATCGTTTTCACACATACAAACGTACAGGAAAATGAAGACATACAAACGTACAAGAAATGTAACTGTTTTTATTCTTCGCAAAATTTTATTATAATACTAGCTGACCCAGCAAACTTCGTACCGCCCTAATAAAATAGGGGTTGTCCAGCGGACAAAATTGTGAATCTAAACCATTCTCAGATCCCCTTGAACACACACAAAAAATTTCATCAAAATCGGTCCAGTCGTTTAAGAGAAGTTCAGTGACATACACACTCACAGAAGAATTATATATATAAAGATAGAAAAATAGTATTAAAATTATGTTGGAAAAAATCAAGTTAAAACTTAACTTAAAGTTTCTCAAATGATAATTTTATCATTTTGAATTGACAGCTAACTTGCTAGCTATATAGGTCTGTTTTTTAGCCAAAATATGAGTTGTCTCCGGATATCAGGAAAACAGTAAACGTATTTTACAATCAGTTGTACAACGTCATTACCCCACAATTCTTGCACGTAATGACGTATTCGGTTACTTAATGAGTTAATGTAATTTTGGATTACGATTTGGAATGCCCCACTGTTAGTATATAATTATTAACACGTGAAAATGAGTAAGTTCATCTTCTTCGGATACAGGAATCAAGCCGCCATATTGTTATTTTGAAGAAGAAATGATTTGGTTAACTCATTAATGTATTTAAACAGGTGTTGCTGAATAGTTAACCTGTGTTTTAACGATCAACTGAATAAATATTTATTTTGAAACAGTGCGAAGTCAAACGATCGAATTCCAAAGTAAATTCAAAGATAACGAGGGTGGGTCGATGTTTTCTATCATATTTCATTCTACGTACAATCAATATTAATAAATCATAATAAATAATGCCTATTTTAGTTTAGTAAATTCTAAAACTTGGTCATAACATATGACGATAGTAATATTTTCGAGTGAAATCTGTGCGGCGCGCTCGGTGTTGAATAACATACCGGCGCTGCGGGCGTCATGAAAAAATCTCAGTCAAATGGGAAATTGTTTGGCATCGAGCCAAACGCGATCAGTACTATGGAGGTTCCTGGCCCTGGGATATTTCAGAAACCCAAGCTTGCCAAAATCCAACATTTATAATGTTGTCGTTGCGCGAATGTCTTTAAACCAATTCCGTGGATCGGAGGGCGGCGATATTGACATTGCGCCGGCGTGGTTACGTGTGGGTAGTTATTTCTAGCCGGCCATGAGACCGCCTCGCCATTCATTTGGTTCGCGGTTTATTTTGACGAGTTACTGAAAATCCAGCGCCCAGCCAGCTACTACGCAATGCATGCAAAGGGTCCGCTGGTGCAGAGACGCAGAGAAAGGGTAACGCGAGCGTGGAGACTTTTTGAGCGTTCGCAACTTAACACTATGCGGAGCCGCTTACCTTTTTGTTTTGTCGGGATGGTGTGAGCCCCACCTGGGAGCCCATCTCCGCTAGTATGTTCTTCGGCATTTTGCACTAAAACAGTCCAATTGGCGTACGAATAAAGTCGGGATTGTAACCGCACTGTGTGACGCGAGGTGCGCGGCGTGCGCGCGGCAGAACGAATGAGCGCGCGCGGCGAGTGCACACTTTTATGAGCGGTGCGCGCGCGCCGCAACTCGGGCTTGACGTCGCTCGCCGCCGAAGCGCCGTCCGCCGCCGCCGGCGCCGCCGCAGAGCCGCAGCCTCCAATCTCTAACCCTAGGTGCATCCCCAAACTGTAAAAGCACTTCTTTTTTTAATTTTTTTTTTTTAATATTTCCGGCACTATAAGGCTTGTGTTATGGGATGCTAGGGTAACGGATAGAATACATATACTGTACATATGTAAATCTTTATATATATAATTCTTCTGTGAGTGTGTATGTCACTGAACTTCTCTTAAACGACTGGACCGATTTTGATGAAATTTTTTGTGTGTGTTTAAGGGGATCTGAGAATGGTTTAGATTCACAATTTTTTTTATGGCGGTACGAAGTTCGCTGGGACAGCTAGTATATTTATATAAATACATATTAAACATCCATGACTGGAGTACAAATGCTCGTATTCATCACACAAACATCTGCCCCCACCGGGATTCGAACCCGGGACCTCCCGAGTCGGCGATAGCCATGAAACCCGGCGTACAAACCACTCGGCCACGGAGGTCGTCACTGAGTACATACTTTTAGAATGTTTTTTCAGTTTTTGTTCCAACAGCCGATTTTTATCAGTATTTTCATAATTTTTACATTATTATAGTTTCCTTTAAACCATTCTTATTACGTTTTCCTGGCTTATCCTTTGCTTTTCTCTAGCTTCTATTAGATTCTTTAGTTTATTTGCAAGTTTCTATTTAATAAGTACCACTTTATACTCATATTTAAAGTTAACTTACTATTAATTAGTCCGGGTAATACATAAGGTCTTTGGTCTCCCCTCTAAACTAATTTCACATGTGCGACAGACAGAGGTCATGGACAACTTCTGCATTCAATCTTTAAAAGAAATGTTATTAAGTGGTCGATTGTATCTGCACTTCCTTGTTTCAAATTGGACCAATAATGAAAAATAATCTCCAAAAATCCGTGGCAAGATGAAGAAATGAAATGATACTTTATGCAAATTGACTTTTTGAAGGCTCTTTTTTCCACTTCAGGACATATTGAGCTGATGAGAAGAATTATTGCAAGAAACTCATCAGAATTTAACAAAAGTAGCAACATTTACATAAAATAATGTCGCTACCAATACAACGTCCACTCACATTTTGATTGCTGTGTCGTGTAGTGTTAATACAATACGATCCCACAGCAAACCCTTTGTGCTCGCTAGTTCGTTCGGCAGCGTAGTTGTACCAGGCAACTTAGTTGGGCTATCCCAAGTTATAAACGGTATAATTTTAAACGGTAAAATAGATTATTATTACGGTAAAATAGAAATTACTTCGGTTATTTAATTTGAAACCTGCAGCTATCAGGCGGTTGATGACTGATAATTTTTTTTTGTGAATTTTTATTTAATTTTTCTTTGTCTAAATTTTTCTCAACTTGTAATATTTTATTTCCAATCTCTAAAAACTCTTCATATTTATAAGTGAAAACTTGTTGATGGCTTAAAGTTGTTAAATTTTTTAAAGCAAATTTTGTATGTATAGCTGTAAGTTTTCCCATTCAAATAAATAAAATAAAATAAATTATAGGTTTCATTCGACATTTCGACCCCGATCCCCTCAATTCAGACGACCTCCGTGGCCGAGTGGTTTATACGCCGGGTTTCATTGTGTCGCCGACTCGAGAGGTCCCGGGTTCGAATCTCGGTGGGGACAGATGTTTGTGTGATGAATACGAGTCATGGATGTTTAGAATGTATTGCTATATAAATATACTTATATATGTACAGTATATGTATTCCATACGTTACCCTAGCAACCTATAACACAAGCCTTACGGTGCTAACTTTGGGGCTAGGCTAATTGGTGTGAGTGTTGGAGATATTTATTTATTTATTATTCAAATACCATTTATTATTATAGTTTGTTTTATTATTTAATATCTGAGTATCTAACACGCGTGCTCAAAATTGTTATGGTGAACTGTGAACGGTGATACTTGGATGCGCCTGAAATATACGCCACTTTAATTGACAATAAAAATCTTTCAATTAATTCAATAAAAAATAATTTAAACAAATCCAAATGAGAATCCATTTTTATAAACCATTGTCAGTCAAAATGATATAAAAGACCTATTGTTATTTGTAAAATGTTTCTGCACATTAATGTAAGTAGGAGATAAACTATGCTGAAGTCTTAAGGAATGCAGATCGAATGAAATTGAGAGATTATAGCTGATGGAATGAAATGGAAAATTTATTTGTACCTACAGATCACAAGTCAACCAAATGTAAAAAAAAATTGAGTCGAATCGAAAAATATCCAGAAAACTCATTTTTATTTTAAAAAGTTTGTTTCTGTACTTTATGAGTACCTTGTTTTTAGAGAAACTAGGTACTAAGGTACATGGTAACAATCCCGTAAATAACTTATATTACTATAATGTTAGTGACCATGAAAGTTTAAAACAATAAAATGTGTGATATTTGTAAAAGGCTGAGGGAGTACTGATTTCAATAAGCAAAAGAAAGGAGTGCATAAGGATAGATGTTTAAGCAGTAACTTTTCAACAAATTTGCTCAAAAAATGCATTTTCAATACATTTGCTCAAAAAATGCACTTATGTATTTTCTATATTATATATACATTGCTCGAAAGCTCAAAGTTACGGGCCATACAACGGAGCGTGCGGTAAAAATTTTACGGGTTATCTTTAATTTTAGTCGAACCTCCTTGGAAACCCTTTTTTGTCTCAATTTAATATCGAATACGGCAACTCTGTTAAACTTGATGGCAACACTGATATGTATAGTCATCATGATATGACTTACACACTAGTGCTTACGTATCAAACAATAAGACCACCTATGGAAACACCATTTTCGTCATTCATATATCCTACCGACATACTCACATGTCACCAATTTGAGTAAAATGTTAGTTCTTAAAAACAAATTACCGACGTAGGTACAACTCACATAATACCTATGACGTCGCTTGAACGACATTTCCTTAATTTATTGGGTTTATTCGCACCTTGTCACAGGCATGATTTGCCTAATAGGCGACTTCAATTACTTGTGTGATTGTGATAATGTAACCAAACCAATGTTAAAGAAAATAAAGTTATTATTACCTAAGTTTATGTACCTATGTTTTAAGCTAATCTTCTATACTTATAATAAATCTGTAGAGAGGTCAATTCTGTACATGAAATATATTTTCAAAATAACTATCAGGGGGTGATTAGTGATCGATACTGATGCCAAAAATGCAATCGGTAAAAAATTTGTCTGTCTGTCTGTGTGTGTGTATGTTCCTTATAGAAACAAAAACTACTCGACGGATTTTAACGAAACTTGTTACAATTATTCTTCATACTCCTGGGCAGGTTAAAGTATACTTTTCATCACGCTACAATCAATAGGAGCAGAGTAGTGAAGGGAAATGTTAGGAAAACGGGAGAAGTTACTCCATTTTTTCAGCTTCCGTCGCGTGTGCAGCCTTAATGGTTAAAGTTACATAGAAATTATGTATAACGGAAATATTCTACATAAAATTGTCTAAAAAATATCCCGCAACAGCATATGTCTATCTTTTATGGTCGACTCACAATAACACGTGTTACTCCTGATAGTTTAGCAGTTCGGAGCATTCCGATTATATAACGTAAATATGAGAATTTTAGTTTGATTATAAATACAGGTAATAAAAATGACCGTTTTTATCTATATATGTATATAAAAGTCAAAGAGTAGTATTCGTACACGAGGGGTTCCTTACCTCAGAACAGCGTAGGTATTCTGTAAGATGCAATCTCACTTACAATATATATATATATATATAACTCAAAGGTGACTGACTGACATAGTGATCTATCAACGCACAGCCCAAACCACTGGACGGATCGGCCTGAAATTTGGCATGCAGGTAGATGTTATGACGTAGGCATCCGCTAAGAAAGGATTTTGATCAATTCTACCCCCAAGGGGATAAAATAGGGAATGAAAGTTTGTATGAAACTATGTCAATTTTAAACCAATCGGGCTGAGACTTTGCATGCAGGTATAAGAAGAATCATAGATGAATGTCATTGTGTTTAATTTAATACAAGCCTGAGAAAAAAAACTATAGTGTACACTTCAGCTCTACACCGAAGCGAAGCGAGGGCGGGCCGCTAGTTAAGTAAATATAAAGCTTTCTCACCTTCTTTCCTTCCCACTTTCAAGAGAGAATGTTTTTTTTTTATCGACTTTCAAGTGAGTACGTTTTTTTTTAATCGAACTTAATAACAAAACCACTTACAAACATGTCTTAAACTTATATTTTAATCCCAAATTATACGTAGGTATGGGAAACCTCAAATCTTCTATAATATAAAAATGAATCGCTGAATGTGTTGCTAAGCGCAAATCTCGAGAACAGCTGAACCGATTTCGAAAATTCATTTTTTAGAATATTCCTTGAAGTTCAAGGATAGTTCTTACGCAAAGAAAAATTAAAAAAAAAATGCCTGAAAAGTCCAAAAACAACAATTTTCTATACTCCCATTACAAACGATTCGTGATATTTCTTAAAAGTCAATTTGAACTTTAATACCATACCATAAATTTCAAATGTTAGTGGCGAGGTTCCGGGAAGGCAAAACAATTGAGTGACGTAATGTCAATAGAAGTTTGGAAAAGGCAAATATACCATTTTCAGTTTTATTTATAATATGAAGAAGCATTTTAGTCTACACTACAGCTCTACACCGAAGCGAAGCGAAGAGAGGCCGGGCCTAGTAAATAAATGAAAAAAAAATACGTTATGAAATGTATTTAAATACAAAATGCAAATATTTTTTTATATTTTTATTTCAAATGCGAAATACAAAATAGTTTTTCATTATTAATTTAAAATACTAAATACAAAAAAAGTGTTTACAAAATACTTTAATGAAATAAAATACCTTTACTTATTACTGTTTTTTTTTAATTAGTGATTTTTTTTTGGTAAATTCAAGCATATGTCTATGATTTTGCGTAAGTACCGCACGTAAATTTGATATAGTTCTTAACTAACTTAAAATTACAT